ATCAAACGAATGGAAAACAACTGTCATATTCCTGACTTGGTACAGGCATATAAACGGGGATTGATAGGTAGAAACTATGGTTGATGACACACATGATGATATAAGTTTTGATTTTGTCATGTTCCACTTCTTGCATAGTATGTGTCAAGCATATGGATTTACCTATTTTTAAAAATTAAAAATAAAATGCTTAAGTTACTAGTAGCTCTCATTATGACGATTGCACAAATAAAGAAAAATATAACTAAAAAAGTATTCAAGAAAGATTACAAGAAGAACTACAGAAATTAACAATTCTCGAAATATATGGCCCACATCATGAATTGTTTGATCACTACAGTATCTCAATGTCAACATATACGACGATACATTCTAACTCTGTAATAAATTCCTCATCCTCACTTTGGTCAATATGACATGTTGAATGGGTTGGTCATGTTTCTGACTTAGACACTTAATTTGGTTAGTACGATATATCATCTACATATGACGACTTTTTTTGGGGATTTGCAGGAGCCGTAGATCGTCAGAGAGCACCGTATATAAACACTATGAAAATTGCTTCCCATGCTTTAACAAGTTTAAATCTTGGAATCGTAATTGGGGCTTAATTTTCGTGTTTTTATATGCATTGCCCTCTGAAGTCAATAGCCTCAGCAAGTCCAGAAAAGGTCCAAGACGTCAGATCAATTTCGTACTAACTTTGATGGATGATGCATACATAACAGACAGAGTTCACCTTTAAGAATAACCAGTTTTAAAACTCCGTATTTGTGATATATAACGGAAAACTCTTCTTATGTGTCATGGTAAAATATCTAGGAGATATACTTATCCGTCAAGTTTGATATACTGTGGATTTATTATTATCTTGGGGTACCAATTTTCATGAATTTCGTGTGTAAAGTTAAATATGGATTTTAATGTTCAACGAAGTATTAATTTTCTATATGCTTGTATGCAGACTTAAGCAAACCCACGACGTAAAATACCCACGAATACAAATCATTTCCTGAATCCACGAAAATTGGAACTCACAAAAATAAATGAATCCACAGTAAACCATGCAAAGTGAGGACTCTATTCACTATTGTATATCACCTTAACTTGTTCACATGTATATAGATTCGTGTATATTAAATCGTTTAAAAATAATTTGTGTGGATACACATTGCGGATACTTGCCTCACTTCTTTTATACTTGTATTGACAACATTAACAATTTTGATTAATAAAACAAAAATGAAACGTATCATGTACATGTTTATGAAATATCAGCAAAGGGCGACTATATCAAGGGGAATGAAAAATCAATACTCAGAAAAGGTTGGCAACACCATGGACAAAAACAAATGAACAATAGATAACAGAACATTAGACCGAACACCAATGATTGGGAACTTGGACTCCACAAAAATAGGAGAAGGACTGAACTATGAGTGTTTTTCTAAATAATTAGAAATATAAGATGTCTAGGATTATAAAATAAAAAGAATAAATTTACCTTAAACTCACCGAAAAGATGTGATATAACAACATCATAATGTTCCCTGAATGTAGTGAAGTAATAATTGATGCAGTTCTACTAAAAAGACGCTGACAAAGTTTATTCGTAGTTGCTTCGTTTACATTTATAAACATAGAACTCAATTGACATCAAGTATTATTTACCTTAAACCCTTTGCTTTCACCATTTCAAGTAAGGTAGGGATATGAGTTTTCAAGTACCGTTTTGTAAAACAAATATAAATATAAAAACGTTAAGATATATCAGTTCATCTTTGCATAAACAAAGAAAAAAATGTCAAAGTAGTATTCAAAATTAAACATGTTTATCAAATGTGTACATTTATTTACCACAAATAAAAACACCACAACTTCTTCACTTTAACCTTGATTCAGGGTCAAGTCAATTCTCCTCGAACGGTTGCTACAACTTCATCAATTATATAAATATATTCAAGCGGTTAGAAAAATATCATACAACCTGAATCAAACTTAATTGTCAAGTTTGATATAAACCATACACAGTGAGGACGTCAAACCCTTTTGTATCTCAGCTTATCTTTTTATAATGTATATACATAGATGCGTGTAGATTAAATCATATAATGACTTTTTTGTACTTGATGATATTACTTAATACTAGCCTCACCACCATTATAGTAGTATTGAAATGATATCAGGTAAATGTTTATGATACAATAAAGGCAAATATATCAAAGGGAAATAAAAACTAATTAGTCGGAAATAGGTTGGACACCATGGACAAAGAAAAAAAGTAAAAAAAAAATAGATAGCAGAACATTAGATAGAAAACTTAAGATGGTGAAGGAACTACTTGTAATGACATCAGTCGTATGATGTATCATACAATTCGAAAATTGTTCATGTCATAAGGCATAACAAGAATAGCGGATGGATTTATTGTCCAACCGTTTTACATTTCCGAATTTTCGGTAGATGCAAGATTTGTAACCCTTATAAATAAACGGTTCTTAAGGTTTGGAATGAAAATAGCTTTTTCTGGACAAGTGATACACAAGACCGATACGTTTAAGAAAAACGCATACTTTGAAAAATAAAGTAGCTCAAATGCTACACAGAAAACTAAAGCAAAAGCAACACAAATCCCTTAAAGTTGAATCATTAAAGGGAAATCCTGAAATATCGTATCAACTGGGAGTTATTACTCCATATGCAGGACTTCTTGAATAGGAATACCGAACATGAAAACTTCGAGATGGAAAATTAAAATCATCTCTTTTATATCAACCGACCTTTACTTTCGAATTTTATATTCTAGTCAAGTTATGAAGCTGACTGAAGAGAATTTCTAATGTCTTTATTTTAAGTTCGTTTAAATAGATGCGATTAACCTAGATATACAAAGTAAATTAGAATAACATTTTATAAATTTGGTGCGTCCGAAGCGCATTTCTAGATTGACCTTCATCAAGAACGTAAAAGCATACAAAATTGAAACCAAGGGCTGTATCAGTATTTGAGTACGTGAGCTGTATTGCCAAAAACAAAAAAGGATAGCAACATTAATCTAAGGTCAACATTGCTTGAGGGAGTCTATACCGTAGATTTTTAAATAATTTCAAAATTTTTAAATCTCTGATTTTGTTAAAAGTATGTTAAAAACATTTCAGTACCGAAGCAGTGACTGCTAGCTGACGATACCCTTTTGGACTAGCTGTTCCAAATAACCATATCAACTGCGGTATCAACCCTGTTTTAGAAAGTGAAAATAACACTCTATCAATATGGAGCGTTCAATGCTTTCTTCTTTATTTACCTTTCACAAAAAAACGCTCCATTGCAAGAATTTCAAACGATCAATTTTGGCTAAGTGAGTTAAAGCCCTAGTTTCCATATGATAATTTGAAAAGTTAATCAAACCCTTAAGCCCATGCTCTTTATTTGTATCATTACAATATGTAATTGGTGTAAACCTAAGAATATTGCAACCACTTTAGGCTTTCATGTTATGCACGTTGTTTGTATGCTTTCAAACATTTTAAAGTATGTCCATGCTTTTTATTTAAGGCGTTATCATCATCATCATTGCAATTATTATTATCATGATACATGACCATCAACATGAACTGGAACCTCAGTTTTTAGTTTAATTATTAAGCAGATTTCGCAAGTTTGGATAGCATACTTTGTTTGTAACATCCACATGCCAAAACTTTAATTCATTTTATCTTGATTAAATACATTTTGATTATCTAAACTTGATACAGAGTAAAACAGCTGAACAAGCCAGTGCAACAATGTTCACTGCTCCTATATTATCATAGAAAGACGAAGACAAATATACAATGTATTTGTACATTATAAGGAGGATGAGTGATACATCATATTTGGTAAAATTATTGCATTTTCAAATTTTCCTTTACCTGTAGATTAATAAAAAAGAAACATATGATACCAGAGAAAAGCAGACTATACCATGGCAAACGAGGAGACACAAACATTTAAAACAAATCGATGAAACAATTTAAAAACACGACACAAAAAACTAACGACTGCATTAGGAACACGATCCCTACCAAAATCCGGATGTGATTTTAGGTATCCCGGAAGAGTAAGCCAAAACTACCAAACAAGAGAAATTCTAGTCTTGCTATAACAGTAGAAAACAATCTCCTCTCGAAAACATTCTGTCTAGTTTCAATATAAACTTTCTGTTCGTTTTTATGGCGGGTTAGTACACATTAACTGTCAAATAAGGTCATTAGGAAAATATATTAATAGGAGAATGAAATTCAAATAAAAGGTAGTTTTATTAAATATTTGATAAGAATGTATTGATAAAATCTTCAATATTTTCAGTATCAAATTACATTCAAGTTAATTTTTTATATTTATGGTTCAGTTTGACGGGTAATCTATCATAGTTCAATGAGAAATTCCACCGATGATGTATACAGTATTTCTTTTTTGTCAAGCGAGTTTGACCGTAGAGCAAGTTTTGGTTTCGATGTTATTTTTGTGTTGCAATAAAAAAGTAAAATAACAAAAATACCGAACTCCAAGGAAAATTTGAAATAAGTCCCTTATCAAATTACAAAATCAAAAGCTCAAACACATTAAACAAATGGAAATAAATTGTCATATTACTGACTTGGTACAGGCATTTCCTTATGTAGACAATGGTGGATTAAACCTTACTTTATAGCCAGAATATTATTCCTTCAACCTGCAATGAATCGGTGTTTTGTCATTTTTATTAATGGAATGGAAATGCGTTTAACACATTTTTCTATTTATATCTTCAAATTATATTTAACATAGAAAGAAGAAAACGTCTGCAGCATTTTAAAAAGTGGAAGTCGAAAATTATCGTGTTCTGGGGTCAAAGTAGATAAAGAGTCACGCTTTAGTCAAATATGGATAAATGATATGTAAAGAAACATTTAACATAACCGATAAATACCCAGTTTCTAAAAATAGATCTTATGATATGGAAACATGGTAAATTTACACTTTAATATATCACTCGGAATTTACCTGGTAAGGAAATTCCACTTGACAAATTATGGAATCAATTTTAAAGACATATATTCAAGATCTATTCAGTTCCATTTAAAAAATAAAAAAGGATCGACTGACAAAGATCATATACATGAAACTATTAACTTTGATCAATGGCTTCTCCGTTGATCTTAGAGTTGTCAGATAAAACGAAAGAGGATGAACATTCATTGCAAAATGAAAACACAGAATCTAAAACTCATATGTCACATGAAACGGATGAAGTACCATCAAGTGATATAACAGAAAAAGAAAAACTTCTACCACAAATTGAACTGGACAAAGAAGAAGGAAGCATTGAACCACAATCAGAAAATAGTTCAGAACATTCTAAAAACAGCAGTCAGTCAGATGTTTGTAACATATCTTTGCGAAACAATAATGGGAGCGAAGCCAGTCCGGATATTGTTCAAAGCAACAGTCAGTCAGATATTTATAATAAATCTTTGCCAAACGAAGCCAGTCGAGTTACTGTTGAAGAGAAATGTTTAGCGAACTGTGGACCTGCAAAAGTACAACCATATATGAAATGTTTGATTGGGTCAATTGTATGCTTCTTTGTAGCAGTGATATTGGTAATAGTGACGGTCTTTATAACAATTTCAATTGTTGAAAGGGTAGGACTTTACCTTTATATATAAACTGAGATTCTATAACTAAGCCATTTAGGCGACAGTCAGACATTCATATTTTTATTTTGAATGATACCCCGTTACGAATAAGACAATTGAATCTGCCGACATGTAGAAAACTGTCATAGTGCTTTTATGTTTACCAATGATGGGATAATTGGTTGTACTACCCGTTAAAAATATATTTAAAGATTGTAGATAGCAAGTACTTTCACTTTTAATTATATAACTAGATGTTTTGTTTCAATTTTGCTTCTTTTTATTCTTTTTATCATGATTATTATTATCACTTATATTATTACTACCAATATGATTAGTTTTATGCATCTTTTAGACTTGTCTGGGGTTTTTTTTCAAACGAAAACTGCATCTGATAAGAACAGATGTCTGTAAATAGTATATTTTGTATTTACTGTTTTTCAGTCATGCCAAAAAGGGCCCTTAGCTGAAAGGATTCGGGAAGGATCAGTTGTCAAAGACCTAAATAGTACGTATACATGGTTTGTCGTTATCTTACATCTTTATATTTCGTGGATCTACGTTTTATTTCAAAAGAAATAGGTCTGAATAAATTTCAACAAATGCTACAAAGAGATACAGGGACAAATTTTGCGTACTTTTAAACAGTTCATGCATATTGTTATAATATTCAAAATCTCAAAAATGAAAAATAAATGTGGAAAATGAATTGATTGTGGCCATTTTCATTACCAAACTTATATTTGCTCATTTACTGACTGGCGGATGAGATCGTCTTTATATGATGTTCATATCAACAAATACAAAATCAATAAAAATAGTACTCTATAGATTCGATGTGCACAGATTGCTTTTCTAGATTCATCCTCATCAAGAACACTGAAACCAAGCAGTTACTACAACTCAACAAAGTCTTTAATTTTAACGTATCGTGTATCTTAAAATTTAAACAAATATCCCTATTTGAAAAACAAATTATGTGTATATATTTACAAGCACTTTTTATATGTGAAACAAAAAAAAAAGTCTGTTGAGTAGTTCATTATTTTGTACAGTTCGCCTGAATGATTGTAACTCCAAACTAACGCACATTTCTTTGTTATAATTTTGCATAACGCTAAAATTTATTGCATTTTAAGAGAAAATAAAATCAACATTAACGGAAATTATTGTATAGATTAAGTAAACTGCATGTAAAAATAAGAAATATATAATTATTTTTTCTGTTACAGTTGTTTTATCAATTTGGGACGATCAGTTGAATATAAGTTTTCAAATGAAGAATGATATATCACTCTACCAGATTGACTATCAAGGAAATGGAGCCAGCAAAAAAATAGTATTGTGTCAACATGGAAAAGGAGCATTTAGTATCTCGTGTGGTGAGGAGGAAAACAATTTATGTGTACCGATCCCTGAATATCCAAAAGAAAATTCAGAAACATTTCTTAAACATTTCAATTACGGCATCGATAAGCAATGCATACAGAAGAAAGCGGAATTAAAATGGGAAACATCCCACAGAAAAATCTCACCTGTAAGACATCGAAAAAGGCCCAAATAAAAATGTTTTCGTAACAGTATTGACATGTGTGTGACTTTGTTCAATATATGTGATTACATAACCACTTTTCGTGAACAAATTCATAATCAGAAATCATATGTAGTAGGTATGTAATAGTTATCCCATGAGGACGCGGTGTGTCACTGTAAGATCACCCCGATGGCCGGAGGGCGGAGGGTTATCTTACACTGACACACCAAGTTCGAGTGGGATAACTATTTTACATCCCAGCTCTTCCAGACTATATGAAAAAAAAAACATTTACGCTTCATAACATCTAGTTCAGAATGCCATACAATAATTAGGTCTTTCCACTTTTCTGTGGAAAGACCTATTGATTTTGTTTTGATTATCATTTTACTTCTTCCGCCACATTTGTGTCTTGCGGTTTATAGTGGTTTCGCAAGATGTCGCTTAGAATTTTTGCATATGATATCGAACAGTTATTGCGCTTTTGAAACTGACCCTATTTAACCGAATTTTTTTTATTGTAAGAGTTATCTCCCCAAACACTGTTTGTCTTGTGTGCGCATCCTCTTGGCAATCGTAAAAGATTATGTCAAAACTATTTCAACTATTTGCTCGTTATATCCTCAGGATCTTAAGAATAATTTTGACCGAAGCGGTCCGGGGACTCCATATGAGAGTTATTTCCCCTTTTGTATTTTTTTTAAAAGTTTTTGTCTCAACCCAGACGGGGATCGAACCCAAGACCTACCACACTCCATCCGAGCATGACACCATGATTCTACCAACGCGATAAATCATTAAAGTCCTTTGTTGAATCAACACTAAACACCTACTCTTTTACATTATCGAATGATCAGACAGACTACGAGAAACTTCAACAACAAACTGTAAAGTTTGACATGGCAGATGGAAATGTGATTTCAGTTTTTCATCCAACCCCGAGCTGACTATACTGAATGGGGTTTTCTCATTTTTGAAGGTCGTACGGTGATCTTTAGTTGCTTGCATCCATTTCATTTGAACCCTGGTGGATAGTTGCCTCATTGGCAATCATACCACATCTCCTTATTTTTATATCATTCAAGCGTTTCAAATTTAAACGAGTTAAATTCCTCCAAACGGACCGGCTTATTTTTTACAGTCATCGCCAATTGTTCCCACGATGATCTAAAAAGAGCAATCTATTTTTTAATGTTTTACCTTGCAGTCTACTACAAATTATGTATGCTCTTTTCTTCTGTCAACTAACAGTCTTGCCCCTTGCAAACCCTCCCATTTAGAGTGTTAAAGATTTTTGAGTGTTTACATTGTACTTAAAATTGATGTTCATAAATAATATTAGGTTTTCCAAAATAAAGAAAACTGGTATTTTTCTATATATTCAAAAAGAAAGTACTTTTGTTGTTGTAGATTATGTAATTTCCCGTTATAAATCATATTGTATCATGACAAGGCATATATGTTATATCTTCCGTATGTGACAAAACAATCCTACAACTTTGTCCAAAAAACACTTATTAAAAAATGGCAAATGCCACTGAAACAAAATGCCCCAGACCTGAAGACAGAGAAATGAGTGGAAACGATATTGAATCTATTGAAGGATCGTCAAGCGATACTCATGATGATGGAACAGAAATTTTTGAAAGCCGCCAGTATGACAATGCCAAAGAAAATGGCGACGGACAGCCTGAAAATGGTGATACTGGTGTTAACACTAGAATAAAGTCCTTTAATTACATATCCGTGCAACCTCAAAAAGAATTCGAGCCGCCTCAGGAACAATCCGGACAATCTCAAGATCAATCCAAGCCGCATCAGGAACAATCCGGACAATCTCAAGATCAATCGGAGCCGCCTCAGGAACAATCCGGGCAATCTCAAAATCAATCCGAGCCGCCTCAGGATCAATCCGGACAATCTCAAGATCAATCAGAGCCGCCTCAGGAACAAACCGGGCAATCTCAAGATCAATCCGAGCCGCCTCTGGAACAATTCGGACAATCTCCGGAAAATGTACCGTTAATCAACATATCACAAAACAACGAGAAACAAGAAATCGTAGAAATAGAGACACAAAATGATGTACGATATACAAAACTGTGCAATTCTGTAAGGACAATTATGATAATAAACATCATTTTGAGCGTGGTAATATTTATTTTAACTGCAGCATTGATCGCCGTAATTGTGCATTTTACATCAAAGGTAAGACACAGTTTATTTTAATCATGTCTCTGACTGTCTCTCGTTTTGTTTCTCTCTTTAATTGTTAACACATGAATGTAAAAGTTTAAACCGATATACAGGAAAACTCTTTTTTAATAAACTTGTCAAATGTATTAATTCTATCTGTCGTATTTACGACACTAACAAGGAATCTTCAAAAAAGAGAATAAAGGAAAACATCTTGAATGTCTGTTTTCGTTTTCATCTGAAGAAATTCATATAAATGCCATTGCAAGCAATTATATATTACCATGTATATTAACCTTTCCAACTTTCAAAATATTTACACAGTGAAGAAATTTAGAAGACCCACATATTTACGACTATTGTCGTTTTTTTGTTTGTTCGAGATACAATGAAAATTAGATTTCCTAAAAATTATGCATTTTTAAAATTCTTATTGACCCATTTATTATTGATAGGAATTTATATTTATATTTATATGTATATCAAAGGAAAACAAAATTATTCTAACATGTACGGTTATTTTCAAATAATTACATTAGATAGAAGCGTAATTTTGATTGGCTGACACATTCCAGAAGTTAAATTTTATTTCCGCACTGAATGCAATAGGCCATAGACCACAATAAAGTTCTCCTATTTGTTCTTTTATATTACGTTTTGTCATACTTACAATATCCCACCAGTGGTTTCCGCCAATTTTGTTTTTTAGTATGTGCAATGTTCCGTACAAGTCCCAAAATACTTTAATAATCATTTTACCACAAAAATATTTTTAGTAATAGTGAACTTGGCCTTTGACCTTTTGGCCCCAAACCCAAAAGACTACTTTCCCTTCCCTATATCTTCAATTCGTATAAGTAATATTCCTATCAAGCATGGATACTCAAGTGATCATCCGATTGTAATTCGGACGGAAACACAAAACGATTAAGATATGATTCTGAAAAATTTTCGGAGTATGCAAACGTATTGCAGACCCGTAACTTGTTTTGATTGAAGCAGAGTAAAGTGACCAGATTTTCAGACTTTTTTTTTGTCGATAGGCATTATAGTGTTGTTGCCACAGACACCTAATTGTATCTGAAAAAATACCTATATACCTTTATATAACACAAGGTACGTACCAATCTTGCATTTTTTAGAAATGACAATCAGAGCAAAATTTAGCTATATTTCAAATCCGCAAAAACATGTTTGTCGTAAATCTGCATCTTCAAAATGGTGTATGACCCTCCTATCTTTGTTGTCGGAACCAATCGTAGCAGGCCATCCAAGTAGGTCAACCGCAAATAATTTCTTCTTCTCACTCTCGATATTTACATGGAGATATTACAAGATATAAGGCAAAAAGATCCCAATGCTGTAAATTATGCACATTATATATTTAACTTTTCCGGTTGGTGCAATAAATTTTATTAAGTTAAATATTTCATCACTTGAAAACATAATATATTTAACTATAGCGCGCTGTTGACCGTCGCAAAGAAAAACCCCAACAAATGCGTACCTTATGCACAACTACAACCACTTAGTCTAGACACATTGCCCCGGCCATAATGAATCATAAGGCATTATGTAAATGTTATTGAGATAAAAGTTCGATAGTTTAAGTGAAGAAAGATATTACTAAAGGACAATACGAAAGGAAACAATTATTTTTTATTATCAACACAATGTGTGGCTACACTGTAGCTTGGAAGGGGGATTTTCATAATCCAGACAAAATATAAAAACACCTTATATTTGAGAATTTGTTTTTAATACATCAATATATGTGAATTCATTTTTGCGGTTATTATATAATTTTGCAAATTAAAATATGAAAGGAAATTTTTTCTCAATAAATATTAGATTTTAATTGTGTGATAGTGTGGATTTTTATCATATTAATCATTTATATATCTATTATGTTTATAGGTTATTCCGAGACACCATTAATTATATTCTTTCATTTGCAGAGTAGTTTACTTAAGTTTACCTTTATTCTATTGATTGCCTATTGATTATTCATTGATCCATAAAATCTAACTGTTTACCTTGTAGCATTTACCTATTATTGATTTTACTATCAGTACTCACTGTTCACTAGAGTGTATAGGTTTTCTTGTATTCTGATTGGTTTATAAAGTCTTGCCCCCAGTTTGGTGGTAGTTTTAAAAACAGTAATGGAGGCTTGATGTCTTTGTTGTGATCTTGATATATTTGTATGTTTTGATGCATTTTGTGCTCATAGACTTTATATTGTGTTTGATTAGTAGTTCCATAAGTTCTATGGATTAGTATAGTGATGGAATTCATCCTGGAACAGGACATCATGACTTTATATTGTAAGTTACATTTTGTACTCTTTGAGGTGTCTTGGATGAACTGGATCCTTAACTTTGAAATGTATGTGTATTACATTCATTTGGTAAGATTCCCAGCCCAATGAATGAGTGTGCTTTGAGTGATGATTGAATCTGATTTATTTGAGAGATTTTAGTATAAATGTTGGAAAGGGAGATTTAGTCGATTTTTATGAATGACCTTGACCTTTTGTCATGCAGTCATGAAATGACAGTGGTATATCCAATGTGATGTCATTAACAGTACAATTGTAATTGTACTTAATGTGTTAGTATTGAAATAAGATTAATTATTTATAATTGTAAATTCGAGATGAAAGATAAAGATTAAAAATAGTTTAAATATGAATTGTATAATGTCTTTAAGAATATTAAAGTCAGATTACTTATTATTGTCATATATTGTTTACAGAACCATATTTGATGTGAACCTCTGTTACCATTACTGTAGACGCATGAAGATCGTTACTGTTAATATTATGTAGACTGTCGATGTTAGTTATTAAACTCAGTTCCACAGACTGGTGAGTTTATGTATACTTAAAATAGC